GTATGGTGTCATAAGGAACAGTACAGAAAATCAGGGCTGGCTTTGCCAGCTATGAAAACAATAAAAGAAGAGCTAAAGCAAGACCTCCTACTCTTGCTCACAATTCCTTTCTTCCCTGAAGAGATTCCTTTGTATACACAGAGAGTCAAATTCAAGGCTCATTGTTTCTGTCAGTTTCCTGTTTGCTTTTTTACTTCCACTACTAAAAAACAACATTAAAACTTTTAAAACATAAAGAGAGAACGGAATAAAAAGAGGAAAAACCAGCTGTTTCCAGTAGTTAACAGCTGGGGTGGAGAAATACACAGAAAATGGAAACAAGTCAATATTGGGGGATGGGGGAGAGAAAAGCAGGGCGGAAGCTTGAGAGGAAACAATAATTATCATGTGCTTGCTGTTACCTGGGACTACAGTGTCAACATCTGGGAAAGTATCCAGAATGGTTCTTTGAAAAATATGGGCTCCAAATGTCTGGTCATCCCAAGGACTGACGGGGAGTGGGTCAAAGGCCTCTACTACATCAATCTTCACTCTGTCATCAGCAACAGTGTTTCTAACTATCTCTAGCACCTATGGGTAAAACACAGAGATTAAATAAGCAAAAGAAATGAGAGCGTCCCTTCTAGATGTCAGCAAATGTTCCACTTCCCAGAAAACGTTTGTCCGTGAACTGCAAACTGTGGCTGCAAATACAGATGCACAGTTAGGACTGAAACCGCGCGGCAGGCTCTCTTCCTCTTACTCGGTGGATGGCTGATACTTAAGCTAATTGTTTTTCTCCCTAGTGCAATCAGATGCACATCACTGTCTCAAGGTATTCCTGAACTGCTTCAGTCCTGAAAGGCAGGTGGTCAACCTGCTGCTACTTGGTAGTTGGGTCACCCCTGTAAACGATCCAGAAAAAGCTTCCAGAAGGATAAACTTTCAGCAAAAGTGCGGGAAGGGAAGATACTGACAATGTTTCACGGCTGTCCTTGGCTGGACAGGCACGTTGCACCTACCGAAGTGTGCAAGACTCCCGTATTCTCACAGGTTACAAACCTCGACATTACCATTCCATAATCACATATGATCCATGTGCTCTTTGGCACAAAAGACTTCTGAAATCTGCTCGATATAACTGCAAGGCACGCTGCCGAGGTTGGCCTGCCTCTTGCTCTGCTCCACATTCAGAAGCCATAGCAAACAACGCATTTTGCAATCCATCTCGAAGAAGGAGAAAAGACATTAGATAAGCTGTGTTTCTGACAGCCTCCATAAAGGAGCACTTCCCAAATCTTCCTCTTCCACTGCTTGTATGAATACAGGGAGGGACAAAAAGAGCATTCTTATAGAACAGATGTGCTGCCGCAAACGGGCAAGTGCCACGCTGCTCAGAAGGGGATGGAGAAGAGCCCCGCAGCTGGGGGCACAGGAAGCACCTCAGCGGCCTTCTCTGCAGAGTGGATCCGGAAGTTCACCGTTGCTTTTGCAGAAGATGGGACGACATTTATCTAGAAAAAAAAAAAGGAAGGACCAAAACTTAAAAGGAAGTTAAAACCAGATTAAAATGCCAACTGCAAACTCAGAAACTGCTCAAACAACTCCAGGCCTCAGACTAATGCTTCACACTGTTTCCACTAACATTAAGTGTGGTATCTCTCTCCGTCCTCTGTGTTAAAATACTGTAAATCTCATCTATGTGAATATCTCTTATCTGCATTAAACAGATATTCATCAATTCAACAAAAATGAAGTTAGCTGTTGTATAGAAGTTTTCCTCTTGAGATAAGCCCTCTCCCTTCAGAAACTTTACACTGAGAAATTCTGAAAGTTTGTTGGTTTTTTAAGCAATATTTTTACTAATTGTCATATTACTTTTCCCCAAGTATGAGACACGTAAGTCGCTTAACACATGATGTTACTGAAGACACATAACTCTTCTTTTCTACAGAATGAATATTTATAATTTTGTTAAACAAAAAAGGAATAATCTTTAGGAAAAAAAACAAGGAACCAGGGTGTCACTTCTCTCCTGGCCACTCAGTGTCACTGTTCAGCCACTGTATCTTGTTTTCTTGTCCAGTGATGCTTTCCAGTAACAGATTTCTTCAGGGACACACCAAACAGCCTGTTTATTTTCCAGGGCTACAGTATTTTTGGATAGCTACACCTCCTTATCAGGGCAAGATCTGGCTAGATCAGCCAGAACCTGTTATCTCTCAGTCCAAGGTGCACACTGACCCTACTCGAATGAAGGTAAACGTCAGACCCATGCTCGCAAACACAAGATCGCATCTGGGCTAGGGAAGTGTTTTCGACTGTGACAGTTTCAAATACTGTCATCGATACTTTGCATGATTACATAGAAAACACTCTT